ATTAATTTTTGTCGAAACCACAGTTTCTAACATCTTTCTATACCCAATCATAATTTCATAAAATATTTTGGTGTTCAAGAACAAGAAAGATTGTGCAAAGATATGCACGTGGTGAGGTTGGCCATGTGGTAGCTATGAAGTCGTGATGTAATTATCAAATAGTTATAATGCATAATGATAAAAAAGTATCTATATTGAAAAAGTAAATTTATCACTTTCTTCAGGAATTATCTTTCAAAGAATATTCATTTGTTCAGCTTGTGCATTTAAGATATACTTGAGTTACCCCTGTTTTTTGTTGATACTAAATCTAAAAAGGAGATAATAAATCCTCAAAAAATCACATTTCTCTATTACATTTTTCTTTCTAGTACTTGGATCAATTGACAAATATAAGTTTACATATTACTGCAAAGAAAGATTTTAAATATTAATTGTTGTTAAGATATAATAGCATAAGTTTTTGGGAGTTTTATAATATTCGCAAACCGTTTGGATGTGGGGGACTGTACACAATACTAATTATAAGATCCTTCTTACGGTTATAGGGAGGTGATGAGACGGGGTAACATGCGTCTGCATGATACCTGATTCCGCACCTGTTACGACAGAAGTCAGGTAAAACCCCTCTGATCCCTACAAATTGTAAGAAGTTATAAGACTTTTATTCTTTTGAACCGCCCAACCCGGGTGACTAATACGAATGGATTTACTGTAAAATCAACTGATGTAGTTCTGCAGACGTCCTGATCTAAGCCATTGCAGCCTCAAGAGAGTAAACGAGATAGTTTAAGACATTAGCAGCCTCTAAGAATAAACGTTAAAGATATATTTTAAAATTACTGTAAATGTCTTTGACTATTACGTAAGGTAATATCGAAATTATTCACATTGGGGACACTGAAACAAGAAAATCAAATGGGTCGACATTCCTCGGAAAGGAATGTGCTTTTGTCTTTGCTATGCATTCTCCACAGGCCTCGTTCTTATGAAGGGAAATGAACGTCTAGGTCTTGCCTCAGGTGGTGGAAGGAAGGACAGAAAAAACATTTAATTTGAACTGATTTGAAAATGTCTTTATCTACATTATGTATATTATTATATAAAGTCCAAATGTTTTCCTACATACCCCTTTAGTCACAACTTTTAATCAAGAATTACATTAAATGTCTACAATTCGAATGATCATTACATTATACAAACTCATCAATACAACCATTAATACGTCAACAAAATACCCGTCAGCGGTATCACCAGGGTAATGATGATTACCATACTCGTTACTAGTATTATTAGTGTATCCATGTATATTATTTTTCTTTGTCTTCAGCAGTCTCTACCATCCAGTATGTGACTGTTACGTTTAAAGTATAATAACAAAATTATCTTGATATTAAGCACAAATATGACGGTCCAACCACTATGACTTTGTCGCAGTCTCATAATTCTAGCAGTTTAGGCCTACAAACTTGATTTATAGGTGACACAGAGGATAATTGTACCGAGCTCCCAGGAGAACTTTTAGAGAAAATGTGATTATGAAATAGATTTTATTATTTAAAGGAATCCACTAAGTTCGGGGTGATCCAATTTTGTGCAGTCCCGCCCTTTCTCAATAATTTGATAAATTTGGTAACAGTAGATTACCAAGAAAAATAGTGGTGTTAATCGAGAAATTATAACCATAATTGGATCTATAATATGATACAAAATGTAGGTAAGGTAACAGATACTTAACTAATTATTGCAATCCAATACTGACATACAAGTATGATGTATATCACAAACTTTAAATAAGACAAGTTATATTCTTACAATTAATAAAACTGTAAAAGAAATATTAACTGAAGTTTTCGTCGGCTACTAATATCTTTCCAAGAAATGCTGTTTATCATTCATTTCAGTTCATATGTGTATCTGCCATGTTGTATTTTTATTTTGATGGGCAGCTAAATACCTCAGGGTCCCTAAGGTCCAGTCCCATAAACGGATTAAGGTCTTTATAGTTGCAAAACGGTTTAACTATTGTTTTTAGTTTCTCATGTTTTTATTCTTATTTTATTTTATCCAACTCTGTTGAACCATTCACTTGTGTTAAAGTTCTAAAGATCTTCAAATATACTTACAAGCGCTAATACGAATGTTTTTTTAGCTTCCCCTAAAAACATATATTTTATATTTTCGTTTTCTGTGTCACAATTATGCAATATAGGTTAAATAATATTTTTTCTCAGTATTTCACATTTACTCATAAAAAATACGCCTTTGTATTTTGCACGTGTTTTGCGATAAGTGGAAGATTGTTATAGTTAACTAAAACAAATTGCAAAACTAGACAAGTTACATAATTTTAGAAAAAAAAAGGAATTACTACCTTCGCAAGTAAAGTAAATCAGAGTACCTAAATCAGAATCCTTAATTCAATTATTACAAAGCAGCAAATTGATATAACAAAATATAAGCGGAAAATGAGATAGGCCCGCACCCCCTCTCCCACCCAGTACCCCCATCCCGCAATCAGCTGTTGTGTATACAGACGAAGTCGTCCGTGTGCGTCTGTTCACTCGAAAACCTCTCTCAACAACCATGGTCGACCAGGCACAACACCGCATACAAGAGGCTATGACAACCCTCATAGATGACCTTGATAAGGAGTACCTTCGAGGAATACAGGTAGGTCGAATAAGGTGATTAATAAGTGTTATTTTTACATCGGCGATATAAGTTTTTGAAATAGAGAAGTGGTTTCCAGTGGAACTTGGCGCCGATTTTGCCGGTGTCCCCACATGTGCGGGAAGGTGACCCGGCTCGTTATGGCCTTGGGAATGAATTGATTGTTATTATATATGCCTAGGACAGCCTACACATGACTCAGAGAGTGAGAATGCCATGGACCCGTATAGTTTCTTTCGCGACTTGCCACTGAAATAAGAGTTTCATATTGTTCATTCGTTTTCATAATATCTTGATTAAGTACAGTTTCTATTTGTAATTTGCAGTTTATTGCGTTGTTCCTTTCTTCCCTATATAGTGGAAAGTTACTGATTCAGGAAAGAGGTATTGCTTTATTTCTAGGCAGTGTCTTGAAAGGGAACTGGGGGTAAATCTTTACATTACGGACACACTCTACAGAGACCAAGTCCCCCAACTCCACATCACATAATCTATTAAACAGTCAAAGATGCCAAGGGGAGGGTTGATGGGTTCTGCTCTCCAACACCACCTAGGAAACAGTCTTTACTTCAGTATGTACGGCATGATAAAGCTGAAACTTAAGAGGGTAGAGGTTGAAGACCGAGACGCGCGTAAATAGAGGAAGAGCACCGAGTGACCTTTTCAACATCATTTTTTTTCGACTTAGTCTCTGCGAGGGTGCGTCGCGGTCTTCAACAATTACCCTTAAGAGCACCGAATGACCTTTCGAGCGGTGCTTTCCATTATCTTTCCCCCAATTTGTGACATTACCATTCATGTGTGTGGATTATTACCTGTACAGTAGTAGACAAAATCCCTTTATTGAATTGAAGCTTCGAATCTGTCTTACCCTATACAAAAAGTGTTGTATTAAGCAAATGTTCGAAATGGGATTCAAAACATGCTTGACCAAATTTTTTACCACAACTGCAATGACTGCAACTTTTAGACCTCTCCAAGAACATCTGCAATTTTGCCTAGCTGTGTGTGCCCATACTGTAAAGATTAACTTAACACGACATAACTGCAATACTTCAAGCTCAGGTGTTCCTAACTACCTTAAATTCTACATTTTGTTATTTTGCACGGCCACATTGTAGCTAACTTGTAGCTATCCTACTATACATGATACATAATTATTTGTTAAGTAAGGCAGTAATATTCCCATGTTGATATTCTAAAATCATCAGTGTTTTTCTCGTAGTTACATTTTCTTTGGTCGTCATATAAGGGAGATTTAAGGGGACTGTTCCTTCCTAGGTATGATAACATAAACTTGATTGGTAGAAGTTACTGTGAGTGATGCACGGAGATAGAGGGAAATACACTGCCTTTTAGTAGAGTGTAAGAAAAAGAATTCAAAACAACATAGTTTAAGCTGCAGCAGTCCAATATTTAACGCAAAATGATAAAAAGATCCACTGCATATTACATAGCAGAGCTCTCTTTTGGCAAAATATAATCAGTGGTGTGTTAGCCTTTGCTCTAATTCTAAACACACGGAGGCCAATGGTTATGTATGTGTGTTAATAACATTTACCTACCTATAAATGTGACATTCTTTTCATCATGCTCATGACTATTTTGTGGAAGGTTTGTAGACCTACCTGGTAATTATTAAATTAACTATGCAGTGGAGGTTTAGTGGCATTTGCTAGAGCAGCATAAGGTGCAAAGACCATTTAATAACTATGCTATATCATGCTAGAATATATGCAGTGGAGGTTTAGTGGCATTTGCTAGAGCAGCATAAGGTGCAAAGACCATTTCAATTACTTGATAGTATAAGCCACTTCATTGATTTTATTTACTCTTTCTGATTTTCAGTCTGCAATAATCATATCATGGAATTAAGCATTCAGTTCTGCTAATTGCCCAAAACCCAGATACATGTATAAGTATAGTAGCTGGGAATGGGATAGTCATTTCAGTTACAGATATTGTTGTAGAATGTACCAATTTGGTTAAGCTTCACGGTATGGATATACCAAGTTAGGGCAAATTGAATGTGATATCCTTGTACAGGATAAAAAGTTAGTCACCAGTACAAAAGATAATTACAGATATGAATGATAACATCACAAATGAAGGTAAAAGATCGCGGAAAGCATCGCTTTCAGTCTAAGTCCACACAGTGCTCCCAAGTTCAGCTCTGTCATGTCATGCATACCTAGATGAAGACAATGTTTCATGGGCATGTTGGAGGGCAGAGCCCCCCCATCAACCCTTCCCCTTGAGCAGTGCCTGAAGCCCAGTCACTGCAACTCAGATTGATGAATAAATTTTTGTGAGTAGGGGTCTTACTCTCTAGCATGTGCATCCATACTGTAAAGAATTACCACCAATTTTTCTGAAGAAAACTCTTGAAATAGAAGAATCATAATGTCTCTCAGTTTATTTTGAGGTATTGAAAGAAAGACAGAGCTTGTTCTTTTCTAGTTATTCAATTACCATTGTATTTTATAACCCCCCCCCCCCCAGTCTCTGCATCCTAGTGAAGATTTTGCGAAGCAAACCACTCTGTGTTATGGTGTCATCTCATAGATAACATCTGTATATCATCAGTATGAATGGATCCTCTTCCATCTTGGCCTCCTTACACTTTCAGCATTTGATGTCTGTTTATGTAAGGCTGGTCGTCTGGGTTTGGGTTTGGGTTTCGGGGAAGGATTAAGATGTAGGTGGTGGCATTTGCATTTGTGTAGGTGTTGGTTTTGTGAAGTATTTGTTCAAATTGTTTGTGAAGGATTTGACTGTTCCTCTATGATGTGATGTGATAACATGTTCAGTTGCATATTGCACATGGGAGGAATGAGGGATTGTAAGAGTCATTGTTGGCATGCTGTGTAACAGATTTGTTGCAGGTGAGTTTTGTGTGCTGCTTCCGAATATTTGTGTTTAACATCTATGAGGTTGTTGGTGATGCTGTACACGATTGTAAGTCTGTGTTCTTGTCTGTATGTCTCCAGTAGATCTATCTGTTTTTTAATGAGCATTGTAATGTTAGGTGTGCAAGTGTAATTGGATGTAATGAATTTGACCTGCTTGAGCCCTTCCTGGCTTTACTCCTATGGCCAGAAGTTATTTTAGTATACTGTAGTCGCCCAAAACTTCCGTATTTGCTTCCTACGAGTCTTGTATATATGTTGATTTATACCTCACCAATTGGGTACGTTTTTGTGTGGCTATACTGCACCTTTATTGCTTTGTGCTTGTCGTGTGGCTGCTTTGTATTAGTCTTTATAACTAAGTATCATTCTCTGAATTAATACTCATAGTTTTTGTAGTACTTTGTAGTACTTTTTTTCTCATATTCATCTAAAATATTAAGTCATTTTTAATCATTGTTTGCCTGGACACTTTTAATCTATGACAGTTTCTTTGTTTGTTTCAAATTACTGGAATTTTTTAATTCATTTATTTGTGCATTTTGTTTTTTTAACCATTTTTAAACTAAAAACTTGTTTAGTAACTTTGGCTTTTATAAAATGTGTTAAGATCTTATGTTAAGAAAAAAAATATTTGGATAATGTAGACCTGCAAGAGTACAGACGCACTTTCCTGATATAGAAAATAGATTCAAATAAAGTTAACTTGAGATCTGTTTAACTATAGTTCAGCTATCTTTAGTTATTGGCAACCATCACCTGGTCTTTCACGCCAAGGTCAACATAACCTACTACCAGGAACACCTTAATTTGGTTGTCAGTGATTATTTTGTGTAAAAGAATTTCATCTCAGGTAGTTGGTGTTATTAAAAAAAAAAAAAAAATTATCTTTCTAAAAGTTTGCTGATAGCTTACATTCAAATTGTATTTTTTCTTATTTCTCTTTATTCACCTATTATAACATAAGACAAGATGTCAAAGATTAACATTTCTCTCCCTCTTTCTCTTCTCTCCTCCCTCTCTTCCTCCCCTCCCACTCCCACTCACTCCCTGCCTCTCCTCCTCCCTCCCAGTGTCTCCCCCTCCCAATCCCACTCCCTGCCTCTCGCCCTTCCACTCACTCCCTTTCTCTCTCCCCCTTTTCTCTCTCTCCCTCCCTCACTCCCTTTCTCTCTCTCCTCCCACTCACTCCTTTCTCTCTCTCCTCCCACTCACTCCTTTCTCTTCTCCCTCCACACTCTCCCTTTCTCTCTCTCCCTCCCACTCACTCCCTCCTCTCTCTCCTCCCCTCTCCTCCCACTCACTCCCTTTCTCTCTCTCTCCTCCACTCACTCCCTTTCTCTCTCCTCCCTCCACTCACTCCCTTTCTCTCTCTCCCTCCCACTCACTCCCTTTCTCTCTCTCTCTCCCTCTCACTCCTTTTCTCTCCCTCCCTCCCTCTTCCCTCTCCCTCACTCACTCCCTTTCTCTCTCTCCTCCCACTCACTCCCTTTCTCTCTCTCTCCCACTCACTCCCTTTCCTCTCTCTCCCTCTCTCTCCCTCCCACTCACTCCCTTTCTCTCTCTCCTCCCACTCACTCCCTTTCTCTCTCTCCCTCCCACTCACTCCCTTTCTCTCTCTCCTCCCACTCACTCCCTTTCTCTCTCTCCTCCCACTCACTCCCTTTCTCTCTCTCCTCTCCACTCACTCCCTTTCTCTCTCTCCCTCCCACTCACTCCCTTTCTCTCTCTCCCTCCCACTCACTCCCTTTCTCTCTCTCCCTCCCACTCACTCCCTTTCTCTCACTCACTCCCTTTCTCTCTCTCCCTCCCACTCACTCCTCTCTCTCACTCCCTTTCTCTCTCTACCTCCCTCTCACTCCCTTTCTCTCTCTCCTCCTCCTCTCCTCCCTCCCTCTCTCTCTCTTCTCTCCCTCCCTCCCTCCTCTCCCTCCCTCCCTCCCTCCTCCCTCCCTCCCTCCCTCCCTCCCTCTCTCCTCTCTCCCTCTTCTCTCTCTCTCCTCCTCCTCCTCTCCTCCCTCCCTCCCTCCTCCCTCCCTCCCTCCCTCCTCTCTCTCTCTCTCTCTCTCTCTCTCTCTCTCTCTCTCTCTCTCTCTCTCTCTCTCTCTCTCTCTCTCTCTCTCTCTCTCTTCTCTCTCTCTTCTCTCCCCCCCCTCCCTCCCCCTCTCCTCCCTCCCTCCCCCCTCTCTCTCTCTTTAATTTGAAGGGAACCAAGATGATTAAGTTCCACAAAAAGTGTGATATTAAAGTGTCCAACAAACATCACATCATCAATTTTTCTTTTTCCCCCCAGAGATCAATGCATTTGTGTGCTGCCGAGTGTTGTGATAGAAAGGATAGTTCTGTAGATCAGGTTCATCGGTGTATTGAAAGCTGTTCAACTCCACTAACTCAAGCTCAGGGATTTGTGCAAAATGAACTTTCACAATTTCAGGTATGGATATTATTTTATAACTACTGAATAACAAAAATATAAAATGTTTATGATATTATCAACACAAGTAGTTGAGAGTCTGATGGGTATTTACTGTGAATGAATAATTGGTTTTCCTGGATTGTTTTCTCTTCTCTTTATAGATTTGAGTCTTTCCAAAAACATGACAAGAAATATTGGCCAAAGTCACCCACACTGACTGCCATCATTATTATTGCTGCTGATTTCAGGAGCGGCTACAACGCTGCGTAATGGTCTGCCAGGATCGTGTTCGGAATCAAGTGACGGCAGACACTTCAGAATCACAGGTACAAGTTTTTGCCAGGATGTTATTGTCCTGAAATTTAAGCATGCCATTAACACTTTTTGGTTATTCATCCCATCCTAACAGTTTTGATTAGATAGAGAAATGGTGGAAGCTTATATATCCTGTTCAAATTATCTTAATGGTATTGTTTAAAAGCTTAAGTAATTTTAAGGGATGAATGTCCAATGTGTTATTTAATTATTTACTTATACTTATTTTTTTTCTTAATTAATTAATTTATTTATTTTCTTATAAAAGCTTAATATAAGCCATTGCAACTATAAGTCAGTATGTAAAAGCTATCTGGAAATCAAGATATATCTTTTTCAAACATTTTATGTGCTAGAAGAGGAACTTGTGTGGATATTGCTTGGCAGAAAGATATATAATATCAGTATGACTGTAATGAATATTAATGCTTTATTTTGGATCAGTGGACATATTTTGATCATATTACACATTCACTCTCCTAACTACCTACTGAATTACCTATCAAAAAGAGTTAAGAACACTGCACTTTTGTCATAAACTTCAGAGTAAAAGATGTGACAAAAACAGGCTTAGTAGACTTTAGTCAACCATATAACATATAACATTTTTAGAAAATTAAAGGAAAGGTGTAGGAAGTATGTTGCTTTTTCTCAGTACTTTGAATATCATACTGCAACTCATCTATATTCCCATTTGTTTGTTTATACTTTGCAATGTTGTATTTTATTTATCTTAAATACTAATAACAGGTTATTTGGGAGAATGCTGCAGTATTTACATACACTAATTATTTTTATTAATACCTTCTTTAATGCCTATTAATTAGAGAATGCAAGGTAACCATTTTTTGGTTTGCTTATTTTTTATTACTAGAACTGATTTTGTAGTAACCATGAAGATTTTTGTGTGGATTGGTAATTTGTGTGAATGACAACAGTGAAGTCTTTATTCTTTCGTTAATCGGTAGAGATATCGGCGCATATTGTTTATGAATATTCTCTAAATTTAGCTATGTTTTATGATGAAAAAAATCTTTGATTTTACAGCATACCTCCTCCATCTTTCCAAATCATACCAGTAGTAAAAGATTTGAACATCATGAGGTTTCATCGCAAATGTTAATGTTTAAAGTTTTTGCAAATCTGTGCTGAACCAGTTAATTAGTGCATCCATGATCTGGGGCACAAGTATGAAGAATATTGTAAGGTGAAGGAATAAACACACATCTCATATCCTTGTATGTATAGAACTTGATAGTTTGTTCACAGTTTCTTCCTTTTAGCATGTTCCATGTTCTCCAACATCGGACTAAATGTTTGATGATACTCTTCTACCTGTGTCTCATCTGATCATCTCCAGGATATCTTGAGCCTGTCTGGCGACCTACCAACTCGTAATCATGACTACTTGATGCCCATTTCATTTCTTTTCCCATGTCCAAAACATCTTGATCATCTTGCTCTCAGGGCACTACGTAGCTCTCTAGGTAACATTTGTAATATGCCTCATCTCTTTCCTGTTGTCAGCGATCAATGCACCTTTTAGTTGCATTATTGGTGCTCATGCTTCATGATAGATAACATGATATCCTAAAAAAGTGAATATCCTTTTCCTCTGTCTGCTATTCCTCATCCATTATAATCCCTAAATTGAAGGATTGTTTCACCTCTTTGTTACATTTCTATCAACTTCTATAGTTTTGTCTTCCTCAGTACCCTTTCCTCAGTCCCTTTTCGAACATGCAGTCCAGAACATTTCCTGTGACAATGTTTACAGCATATTATTGGTCTGCTTTTCACCATCATACTCCATATGAGAACATTTTTACATTTTTCTCTTTCTTCTTGCCAAACCTTTGGAATCATCAGTTTTGCCTTGCCTATATTAATCTTTAGATCTCTCCTCTCTATTGCCTAGCTTTATTGTACAGACACAACTTTCATTTCATTCTCAGTTGTTGATATAAAGTCATCCTCATACTGCAGCTATCATGGGTCTCTTCCATAATTTTGGGGAGCCTTTTTCATCACAGTGAGAAGTTAAGTTTATTATATGTTAAAGCAGGTATCTTTTTTATATGTACTATAAAGAACTTTTCCTGAGACAACAGAGCAAGAGCATCAGTTTATAAGTATTATAAAAAAGACTTGTTCCTGGCAGGACTCCTCCCAGCGTGGTTCATCGTTTGCCATGGCCAACAGTGCAGGGAGTTTCATGCGGCAGGCAGCTCTAGGGATAGGAGGGGTAGGAATAAGAGCAGTCGCAGAATTTAACGCTGTGGGAATTATTGAGTGTATAGACTTGTTAGCATCTGTTCAGTGGAAAGTTGCTTAAAATCTAAAACCAGCTTTGATTGGTGTGCCTGACAAGTCTAAACAAGGCTGTTGTGTGTCAAGTGTGACAAATTTATTGGTTGGTAGCTCTATCCCAAGTATGGTACAGTTTTAACAATTAAGTATTGCTTTGTTTGTCCAGTTTCTCCTGGCGTGTCTAGCAGCTTCTAAGTTGTAATAAGTCTTCGGCTTTTTATCTTTGGCAGAATAGACCAGTGTAATGTGTAATATCAATTTCAAGTAGTCATGATTCATTTAGATATCAAAAATTACCAATTAACAATGTTACAGCTAAATAACATGATTTTGGTTCCTCTACAGATATTTAGGGCTTTCATATTTCCCAGTGACATAGAGTGTGCTGGTTATCAAAAGAGTTTTGCCATTTTTAAAGGTTCCCCCTGTTTTTTCCCATGGTAGAGGTACTTTGTGGTAATATTTTTGCTTAGCTTGGGATTAAAGTTATACTCACATAATTAACCCATTCCACCGGGAAAATGTTCACTGTAGTATGGTTTTGTGAAATGTCTTTACATATAGATGGCTCCACAAGTGCTTGACCACCAAGGAGTGAATTACTAGGCATTGTGACCTCACCTGATTTCACCTTTCCTTGAGTTTTTAGGAAAAACTGTTTTTACTTGTGCTATTATTATTATGGATATTATAATTATTATGATTATATTAACATTACTAATAGCAAAACATATCCCCTCGGTGACAGTGATGGCTATAGCCGTCATGACGTAACAGCCTATGACATGTTAACGCATCATGACTCACGGCAGGTGGGCTGGCTGTACACAGCTTACACCTAGCCACAAAGTCTGGACTGTTGCATAAATTTACATCACAAATAAACCAGGCCCTGTCACTACAGGGATATATAAAAGAATCAAGGAAAGGGCAAACAGTAATTGGCTCATTGGTGTTTCAGTACTTGTGGAGCCATCTTTGTGTAAAGACAATAAACCAAGCTCACAGTAGGCATGGCATATATGGGTTCACTTGGGGCAAAATTTGACAATTGCTAATACTGCTTTCCAGGATGAAACTAATAGTTAAAAGATTTAAGGAGAATAATGGGAAGAGCTATTATGATTGTTAAATTAATAAGTTTCTTGATTTAAATAATTTGTTTATAAATCTTCCCTTAGTATTACATGAGAATAATTTACTCTGACAGAGTGATTGAGTAAGCAGTTTGATGCATTTTTTGTTGACCAGAGTAAATTTTTCTCTAAAAAAAGTTGAATGAATATAAAAACAGATATATAAATTTCTATGCATTATTTTAACCCATTGACAACAGGTACATGTACTGACCACTAGTTTTTAGTGAATTTTCTGGGATACAGATGCCTCCACAAATACTTGATGGCCTAAGGAGTCAGTCAGTAGACCCTACATGACCTCACCTACATTTCCTCATTCATTGAAATATTGTGATAGTAAAATGTAAAAAGAATGTTCCCAGAAATCAAGGGAAAGGATAAACAGGAAAAATAAGTAGGACTAGTAATTGACTCCTTGGGCACTTATGCAGCCATCCGTATGTAAACAAAATTAGTTGACTAGTATCACAGTGGACATGACATATGTCACATCAGCACAATGGGTTAAAGGTTATTTTATTATTCAAAGACACTGCTATCCTTTGCTTTATGTACATACATGAAATGCTACTAACCAGATAGAAAAGATCACAGTATAAAAGACATTAATTCCAATACAAACACAATCTTATGTATGAGCACAAGCAACATGCAATTGTGATAGAAAACCAGATTAGTGAACATGATATCAGCAGAGATTGAACTTCTCAAAGCCATTGCCTATGAACAGTATGCAAAGTGCATCATTTTAAGCATATTTTGTAAAGGGCTAATTACACTTGAGTGAAACCTAAGATATTTCTTATAATTGGTTAAACCAAGAGAATGTGTAACATTTCTTTATATGTGACCAAAGACATGTATGGTATTCAGCTTTTAAAATGAGATGGCTTTAAGCTAAAAATTTGCATTGTAAGATTAGAAGCATAATGAAAGATTTTGGACTGGAGCAGCTCTTTTTCTTCAGGTTGTTTACTTGGATCTTGTAGGATAACATTGTTTCTGGATCAGTGTAAGGAATTTCAAGAATTCAGAATTTTATTATTAAATGTTTAGTTTATGTAGATCCTAGGGAATGCAGGAATAATGATTATCATCATCATGACCATTGGGCACATGTATATAGTAGCTCAACAGTGCTAACCTGTGTGATAACTCTGTAAAAATTTTATTCATCCTTTTAGGTTTCAGCCACTTCTCAGTTTTCTGTTATGTGAGCCCCTTATTCACTACTTATTTTGCAGATAATGAACTTCTTTTTTACAACTGAATATTGTGTATTAACCCACTAATGAGGGTATATTTTGAAGCTGAAAATAATAATTTCCGGGAGGCTATAAAATTGGTGTTCCGGCCGTGTCCCGTGGTGTATTTGGAGCGCGAGCTCTGATCCAACGTCACACTGGGCTCGGCGATGTTTATTTTTCCAGATGTCTCATATACTGGAGTATATGAGACATAGTAAATGGGTTAAATCTGAATGATTGCACTCAAGTGCTTATATAAAAAAAAAAAGATAAACAAATAAAATAAAATTAAAGATAAAAGAAGTGCAGAGGAAAAAGTTTATCTTTGTCAGTTTATATAGGGATGGTTCTGTTTAGCATCACTCTTGTCTGTTAGGGCAAAGATAACCGTAAGTCATGTATGCCATCCCATTTTTATTACATTATTATAGCTAAGATTTTGTTGGAGAATCATCGGTCTGCACCAAATTAATTGAATTAGTGAACATTTTAACTTATCTGTCAATAACAAGGTTTTCTGTTTTCATTGTGTATTTATTCTTACCATACTATTATAGGTTTTAAGTTTCATTTTTCTATGATTTAGCCTTGTATCATTTAGAAGGTAACTAAGATAACATTCAGGATAAATACACACAGGCTCATAAACCTTTTTAATATAGGAGTTGCTACTTAGCACATTTTCATTATGATGATTAATGGTCATTTTTTATCTCTTGGATCTGGTTGCTTCACAGCAATAATACAAACCAAAATACAGGCATTAGGCCTGCGTGAGCAGCCGCTCTGCTGGGTACACTGCTTGTAGGTTGGGTGCACATGAACACCTGTGTGTTGTGACAAGACTCTACACCTCCCCTTTTCATTGTTATTTTCTGTTTTTATACACAAGGGTATTTAGCTTTTTTGCCATTTTCCAATGACCATATTTGTCTTTTGATTTCCTTTATGGTAATAGATTTTCCCTGAAAAAACTCAATATCATCCCTCTAAAATAAAATATGTAACCTTTTTTCCCAAATTTTCTGTAATATAACCTGCACCGTCAGTCAAGGCAGTCAGAATAAGATGCTGAGCATGGAAATGGCATCCTCCCTGGAACTGGCAACTCTCCAGTCATGGCTCACGGACATAATGGGGATGATACAAAAGCCCGTTTCTAAATGTCATATGAATCTAATCTAACTTCAAGAGCTTTATGTCCGTGAGCCATGAATGGCGACTCTCCAATATGGCAAAAGCCCTTTCTAAATGTTATATGAATTTAATCTAACTTCAAGAGTTTTTTGCATTCATAGCAATTCTTTTCCCTCGCCTTGGCCTTAATTTTTTTGTAATATTTTCTGTAATACAACATACACTACCAGTCACGGTGGTCAGAAATAGAATGCTAAGCAAGGAAATGACGTTCTCCCTGGAGCTGGTGCCATTCCAGTCATGGCTCACATACAAAATGGGAATAATGCAAAAGCCCTCTTATTAAACTTCAAGAGGTTTGTACCCACGTGGCAAGTCTTTTCTGTCACCCGCACCTTCAGCCAAAATGGTATGACTGCATGTTCCTGTACCAGCCCTGTTAGCCACATTCACACACATACATACACATACACATACAAACACATACACACACAACACATACACACACAAACACATGCACACACAAACACATGCACACACAAACACATACACACACAAACACATACACACACAAACACATACACACACACACATACACACACACAAACACAAACACATACACACACAAACACATACATACACATACACACACACAAACACATACACACACAAACACACACACACACAAACACATACACTCACATACACATACACACATACACATACACTCACATACACACACACACACACACACACACACACACACACAACACACACACACACACACACACACACACACACACACACACACACACACTCGCATGCAAAAGCACAGCACACAATACATACATGCA